TCTCCTCCCTCATCAACATAGTACAAGAAGTACATAAGCTTATTTGATGAAATAGAGCGATTTGAAAATATATGTCACTAACAGGTTTACCAGAAGGCTCCCTGCAGAAGGGGATCTTCACAAGCCACAGACGGGATGACCAAGGGGCTGTCTAGGGCTCAGGAAACAAAGCAGTCAGAGAAGCAGGAATAGAGGCCCTGCCTGGGTGGAACAGCATGGACTTCTCTTCATCAAGGCCAGGGTAGCTCCACTACCGCCCAGGGAGCTGGCAATGGTGAAACCCTGAGCCCCTCATACAGTACCAGACCTCAGTGCAACCATCCAGTTTTCTGGTGGCAGTAACTGTCCTCACTGGACTAAGGTACTTATTCAGGAATTGAGTTTGCATTCCCTGCCAACACCACCATCTATGGACTCATGGTGCCCTAGACCAGGCTAACTCCAACCAAGAAGCTCTTCCCAGCAAAAGAAGTAAGGCATTAAACGTAATGTGGGTCTTGGAACAGAAACATGGCGTTAGTGAAAAAGCAAGGAAAATCCAAATAAAGTCTGGAGTTCAGTTAACGGTGTTATGCCAATGTTAATTTTTTAATTTTAAAAGTAACATGGTTAGGAAGATGTTAACATTAGGGGAAGCTGGGTTAAGGGTTTATGGGAACTCTCTGTACTACTTTGCAACTCCTCTGTAAATCTAAAATTCTTCAAACTAAAACTACTGAAGAAACAAAACAAACAAACAAACAAAAAAAAACAAGGCTGGGGCTAATGTCAACAGGGTTGCTGATCTCACCATGTGTCTGTTACCTAGAAGCAAGTGGCTTTTACAGAGTGACAGGCTGGTCTAGTAAAGACCCAGGGTGGTGCCAGGTTGGTGGACACCACTTTGCAAAGACTAAGTGTTGTCAAAAAGGTTGCTGGCTGTACTAGGAATGGAACCAGAAGAAATTCACCGTGTTTTCCTTTCGTGGCTAAACAACTCACAGGTCTATAGGCTAGAGGGGGGAAAGGATGGTTCACGATGGCATCAATGACCCGCTCTCAGAATGATCATTCTTGTCCTCCTAATTGATAGTGTGAAGGTCTGGGTATGCAAGAAAGGAATGCTGCCACAGGGCACAATGTCGTAATCCTTTTAGAAGCTGAGATTTCTACCCTGCTGTTTGAGGCTCCCTATGGCATTAGGAGAAGACAGAAAAGGGGGTCAGAGTGTCAGGCTGATGACCAACCTTGAGACTCAGGGAGTCCTGTGATTGTTGCCACACCTCAGGGTGGCCAGGAAAGGTACGAGAGGAACCAGAGAACACTTGGGTCACATTCCCCTGCGGAATAGTGGGCTAAGAAACTGCAACTCTTAGCCAGGCGTGGTGACTCACACCTGTAATCCTAGCACTTTGGGAGGCTGAGGTGGACAGATTACAAGGTCAGGTGTTCGAGACCAGCCTGGCCAACATGGTGAAACCCCATCTCTACTAAAAACACAAAAAAATTAGCCAGGCATGATGGCTCATGCCTGTAATCCCAGCTACTTAGAAGGCTGAGGCAGGAGAATTACTTGAACCCAGGAAGCAGAGGTTGCAGTGAGCTGAGATCGTGCCATTGCACTCCAGCCTGGGCGACAGAGCAGCTCCTCCATCTCAAAGAGAAAGAAAGAAATAAAAGAAACTGCTACTCTAATCAGAGACCCACCAAGGGTACAAGAGCCTCAGGAACAGAGGTTAGAGTCACTGCTCTGGACCCAGAACCCCAACAGTGAAAGTCTGCCTGAAGACAGGAGAACACGGGTCAGGCAGGCGGAAGAAGGAAGCTGTAGCCACATGGCCGACGGCCGCATGACTCATGCTCCCATCTTTTTTCTCCTTTCTCACTGCTGGAGTCCTATGGAATATTTACCTTTCCCCGTTTTTTGAAGAAAGAATTACTGTCTTTCAATATTTTCTCTTTCTCATTTCTCATCTTTTCCTTCTCAGAGTATAGGGAGAGTGGTTGAATTGACACTAGCTTGCAGAATGGTGAGATGGAGTCAGGATGGGACTGGGAATTGGAGAGATCCTGGATTTTGACCACAGAGGCCCTGCGACCTCACCCTCAGCATTTGGGATGTGACCTCCTAGGGAAGGGAGGCTGCAGCTCTAGTATGCAGGATGACTGTATTAGATTAGGCTCGTTTTCAGAGACTTGCTTTCATTTCTACCTAGTAAACCCTACAGGCCAGAAGCTTGGATGCCATCCTTCACAACTCATTCTCCTTCACTCATAAACTCAAAGAAATGTCAAGATCTGAGTTCCCAAAGAACTCACACAACTTGCCTACTGGCCCCCCAGACTCATGGCCACTGCCCTAGTTCGGGCCTTCCTCGCTTCACCCCCTGATGGAACAATCACCTCCTTAATTGCTTTTCTGCCTTCACTCTCCCCCTGTTCAATATTGTTTTTTGTTTTTTTGAGACAGTCTCACTCTATCGCCAGGCTGGAGTGCAGTGGCGGGATCCCAGCTCACTGCAACTGCCGTTTTCCAGTTTCAAGCAATTCTCCTGCCTCAGCCTACCGAGTAGCTGGGACTACAGGCACGCACCACCACGCCCGGCTAATTTTTTGTACTTTTATTGGAGACAGTGTTTCACCATGTCGGCCAGGATGGACTTGATCTCTTGACTTCGTGATCTGCCCACCCCGGCCTCCTAAAGTGCTAGGATGACAGGTGTGAGCCACCAAGCCCAGCCCCCTGTTCGATATTGTAAAAAGCAAATTTCCAGCCAGGCTTGGTGGCTCACGCGTATAATCCCAGCACTTTGGGAGACCAAGGCAGGAGGATCACTTGAGGCCAGGAGTTCGAGACCAGCCTGTGCAATATAGTGAGACGCTGTCTCTACAAAAAAATGTTAAGGCTGGGCACGATGGCTCATGCCTGTAATCCTAGCACTTCGGGAGGCAGAGGCAGGTGGATCATGAGGTCAGGAGATTGAGACCGTCCTGGCCATGGTGAAACCCCGTCTCTACTAAAATACAAAAAATTAGCCAGGCTTGGTGGTGCACACCTGTAGTCCCAGCTACTCAGGAGTCTGAGGCAGGGGAATCTCTTGAATCTGGGAGACAGAGGTTGCAGTGAGCTGAGATCATGCCACTGCACTCCAGCCTGGAGAAAGAGCAAGACTCAGTCTCAAAAAAATTTTTTTTTCTTAAATGAGCCAACCGTGGTAGTGTACACCTGTAGTTCCAGCTACTCGGGAGGCTGAGGTGGGAGGCTTGCTTTAGCCCAGGAAGCAGAGGCTGCTGTGAGCCACGATCATGTCACTGCACTCCAACCTGGGTGACAGAGCAAGACCCTGTCACCCATCCCCCCAAAAAGAAAATTTCCTTCTAACATTACCAAGTCAATCCTAGCAAATAAGTTTGTTTAGTTCAGCAAGCAAGACCCCTCTGGTCACCTCCAAGCCCTCTCTAGCAGCAGATCCTAAGGATCTAGACCTCTTGACATCCCACTCCAACCTGATTGGCGCCCCCATCCAAACCATGGTCCTTTCTCCTATGTATGCCTCTGTTTATACTGGCTCATCAAGTAGAAGTGCCATCCATCCACCCATTGACAACTTAACCCTTTAGAACTCAGCTCCAGATATCATCTTCTAAAGGCCTTTCCTGTCTTCCTTCCCAGAACTCAACGCACCCCTTCAGCAGGATGAGGTAGCCCTCCTATGGGATTCCATCAGATCCCTCGCAGACCTCCCTGACGCTGCACTGAGTGCCTTGTATCATGAGTGCTGGTTTGTCTGTGGCTCCATCAGACAGTCCTTTCCTTGCTGGCAAGGCCCAGGAATCAGTCTCATCCATCACTGCATCCCCAGGCTTTAGCAGGAGCCAGCTTCCCTTCTGCTAATCAGAATCTGCTTAAATACTGTCCTAGGCTTCCTATTGCCCTTAGGATGAAGAAGAAAGTTCCTAACTGAGCTCACAGAAAGGTCCTTCAAGACTTGACCCCAATCTCTAGCCTCATGCTTTCCAGCCCCCATTCTGCGCCCCTCTGTGGCATTTACATTGACCTTGCTCACTGCCCTGAATGTCTCTCTGCTGTGTGTTCCCACGCCACCCTTGACTCTCCCCATTGTAGCGTTTTATGGACTTAATTGTAAATCTTTTCATGTCTTCTCCACTAAATCCCATGGAGATGGGAGCCACGTTCGTCTTACTCACTCTTCCATCCATAGTGCCCAGCACTAACAGGCTACTCAGCAATATTAAACAAAACATGAAATCATAACTTCATAAACTCTTGTTGTCGCCAGGCCATCTGGGGTGATCTAAATGATTAGGAGCAGGACCACAGGGTAGGACATGAGATGGGGGGACAGGACCCCCCAACACTGGCCCCCAGCCCAAACTACTCTGGCGTGGAAATGCATTTTTCCTAGGGAGAGAGTGGAGGAAAAAGGCGGAGGGGCCCTAAGGAGGTGTAAGTGCTTCCCAAGGACTGCCCTCTGAGGATCGCAGGCTCCGCACACCCCACCACCCATGGGACCAACCGCTCAGCCAGTCACACTGTCCTCAGAGTTCCCAGCAAGGTCAGCAGAGACCCAGCAGGTGGGGGAAATCATGGGAGAAAAGAGTTGAAGGTGGGAGTGGGGAATGATTCACAGTGCATTTGTTCAGGGGTCTTTACTCATTCTGCGATGAAGAGAAGGTGACAGTTCACTGGCTCCCTGGGGGTCTAGGAGACTTGGGCTCGGCTCAACAGGGACAGACACTCAGGGTGGGGCTCCATGCCATCAGCTTATCAGACAGCCGCCTTTCTCCTTGAAGGGATTCTTGTCTTCAGGGATGCCTTTGATAAAAGGGTCGTTTCCTGCTTGGGCCTCCACATACTCCTTGATTTCCTTTCCCGCTTTGGAAACCTGTGAGAACACAGAAAATGCTTACGGTGCTTGTTACTTTCTCTGAATCCATGATTTGGTCAGCTGGGAAAACAGGCTTCCAGGCAGGGTGGAGACAGTGGCCGAACAGGAGAAAGACACAGGGGACAGACAGGTGTTTGGAGTGTGGGTTCCTGGACCTGACTCACAACATTGACCTTGACCTTCGTGGGATGCTTGGCCAGGACCAGCCCAGACAAGGGGCTGGACGTGCTGAGCTCTCCAAGGCCCCGAGGCTCTCTCCTGTGCTCACGGAGGCTGGCACCTTCACGGGATCAACTCCAGCCTTTCTCTGCATCCTCCCCCATCCCAGAGGCAACTCCTGCTGCTTCTGCGGCCCTGGAACAGTCCCACCACCCTTTCTGGTCACTTCCTCCTTCCCAGAACTCATCAGGAACAGGAAGGGAAGAGCAGGGACTGGGCGACGAGGCTCACCGGAATTCTTGTGTTTTTCACTTCCTTCTTCAGCTGCTCGACCTCCATCTTCAACAGGTCCTTCTCGCTGAGATCCTGGGCCATCCTGCCCTAGACAGATCTGATCCCGGAAAGGATTCAGCAGCCAGGATCGTAAATCCCATCAGCTCTTCCAGCTCCCTCCACACCTCGACTTCTAGCCTCTTCCCTGCCATATCCCTCAGTTCAGGCCCCTCATGATTCCACAGATATTCACTCCATCTCTGTACGTCCTGTGTCTTCATGAGTCTGGGCTGAGGAGGGGAGGAAGCTCCCAGTCTGATGGGGGAGGCACAATTTTTGCCTTTGGATTGTTTGTCTATGAAGGAAATTTAAATTGTCTGTCTTCAGAGACCTCTGTCTACAGAGGAAACAGAGGAGGAAGAAAAAGGATGGGGCAGCTTCCTTTCAGTGAGGAAGATCTGGGAAGCAACATTATTGTTTCATATAGTGACTCAGGGAGTTTTTCTTTTTCTCCAGGTCCAGCAGGGGAGAGTATACAATAATGGTCAGGAGAAGGAGGTCTTGGCTGGGCACGATGAGTCACCCCTGTAATCCCAGCACTTTGGGAAGCCAAGGTGGGAGGATCGCTTGAGCCCAGGAGTTCAAGATCTGCCTGGCCAACACGGTGAAACCTCATCTTGACAAAAGATAGAAAAATGAGCTGGGCGTGGTGGTGAGTGCCTGTAATCCCAGCTATTCGGGAGGCTGAGGTACGAGAATCGCTTGAACCCGAAGGTTGCAGTGAGCCGAGCTCATGCCACTGCACTTCAGCCTGGGTGACAGAGCTAGATTCTGTCTCAAAAAGATTAAAAAAAAAAAAAAAATGCCGGTCTCAGTGGCTCACACTTGTAATCTCAGCACTTTGGGAGGCCAAGACAGGTGGATTCTGTCTATAGAGGAAATTTAAATTATCTGTCTTCAGAGACATCCTTAGGTCAGGGGTTCCTGACCAACCTGGCCAACATGGTAAAACCCCGTCTCTGCTAAAAATACAAAAATTAGGCAGGGATGGTGGCTCGTGCCTGTAGTCCCAGTTACTCAGGAGGCTGATGCAGGACAATTGATTGAACCCAGGAGGGGGAGGTTGTAGTGAGCCGAGATTGCGCCACTGCACTCCAGCCTGGGTGACAAGAATGAGACTCATCTCAAAAAAAAAAAAGAGAGAGAGAGAGAGAAGGGTTTCTGGAGCTTGCCAGACTCCAACTCTAATCCCAGCTCTGTGCTTCCCACCTTAATGTGGCTTAGGGAAGTCACTCAACCTCCTTGAGTATTCGTCTTCCCAGCTGCAAAATGGGTATTAAAAAACCTACCTCAGGCCGGGCGCGGTGGCTCAAGCCTGTAATCCCAGCACTTTGGGAGGCCGAGGCGGGTGGCTCACAAGGTCAAGAGATCGAGACCATCTTGGTCAACATGGTGAAACCCCGTCTCTACTAAAAATACAAAAAAAATAGCTGGGCATGGTGGTGCGTGCCTGTAATCCCAGCTACTCAGGAGGCTGAGGCAGGAGAATTGCCTGAACCCAGGAGGCGGAGGTTGCGGTGAGCCGAGATCGCACCATTGCACTCCAGCCTGGGTAACAAGAGCGAAACTCCGTCTCAAAAAAAAAAAAAAAAAAAAAAAAAAAAAACCTACCTCATACAATTATTATAGGTCCTAAGAAAATAATGCATATAAAATATTATAATATACTACCTGGCACATAATGAACACTTAATACATTTATTATTGTCACTAATAATGCTATTGTCATTATGATCACTGCAGGGTTATCAGGAAGGCCTGCCTGGTGCCTAACCTCTGAGAGTAGATCCCAGCCCAGTGCAACCTCAGCCCCTCTCACCTGCCACAGAAGAGCACGGTCTCCAAGTTGCTTGTCCTGAACTCAGGTAAGATCGTGTTTGAGCTTCCTAGTTATTCATCAGCTGAAAATCTTCAGATAAAGCAGATGGCCTGGAAACCAAAATCTCTGATGCCTAAGCTGATCATAGGCTCAAAGTTCTAAGCCCATCACCTGGCTGAGCCTTCAAGCCCTCACTGCCGCAGAGCAGAGAGACGGACATTCTCCCTACAAAAACAAATTAGAAAACAGAAAACACCTTCTCACCACCTTGCCCTGCATTAGCCTCACTCTTTTGGTGACCTCACTAGCTTAGCGCCCCCAGCGCTTCTATATCCCCACCTCCCACCCGGCAGCCTCACCCGCCCCTCTTCGCCTGCTTTCTCCTCCCTCCCTCCCCACCTCTGAGCATGCGCTGAGGCTGTCCTTCCTCCTGCGGCAAGTCCTAGACCGGCCCCTAACCTCCCTAACCAAGACGCCCCGTGTGCCCATTGGACCCCCATAGTTTCACCTTACCAGGTTCTCCTGGCTCACTCTTCATCCACTTATTCAATAAAAACGTCCTTGCTCACCATGCTGTGCCACTTAGGACTTGGGGAGTGGCCACCTCTAACGCCTGTGTTCAAGCTTCTTTGCTGCCACGCCTCCCTCTGACCCCTGAGTGTGGGTTCCCCAGCACAGGGCCCACATCCTGGTTTTTTTTCTTGCTCTCCCCGCAGGACCACCCAAGGGCTATGCCATTTAACACTCTGTGCTCCTGTTCTGTGTTTGAGCCTCCTCGTTTTTGACACTGCTCTTTGACACCTGCCCAGTGACAAAGGATCCAATGGAAGAGCAGGATTTAAGGGACCAACATGGTCAGTGGGACGTCCTCTTATTCTCCTGTCTCTAGGATGACAGGCGTGATGGTGGGAGGGGCAGAGAAAAGGGTGGCCATCCTAACTCCCCTGCTCCAGAACCCAGTCCCACTCACAGCTGGGAGCGCTAAGAATTTGACATCAGGACAGGATCGTGGAGGTCATCTGGTCCAAGTGCCCGGTTAATGTATGAACTACAGCCCATACCTCCTAGGCAGGCTCACTGCTCTGTCCACCGCTGCTTCCTAAAACCAACAAGTTGATCTGGAATTTGAACCTGGTGTTCTCAAATCCAAGTCCTTCCTGTTGTCTAATCTGAGTTCCTCAGATTACACTTGGTCAGTTTCATCTTGTTCTGCCTTCATCAGCATAGAGCACGCAGGGCAGCTCTTCATCACACAGACCGTTCGCAGGCTTGCTAACACCCCTCTGGAACCTCTGGCGGTGTCTTCCCGCTGTCCACCCTGACTCCTCTTGCTGCCGCACCGGCCGTTTTCTATTTTTGTTGTGCTGCTGCCCCACAGTCCTCTCCGGTATGACGGGTCTCCATATCCTATCCACCCTCCACTCCCCTGTCCCTTGGTGACTCATCCCTGAGCTTCCCAAGGAAGCCCCCACCCTCTGCCCTTTCCTCCCGCCTTCCATAAGTGGAAAATCCACCTCCACCCCCTGTAGCAGGCCAGCCCCCTTCCTCCCCACTCTCCCACCCCATCCCCCACCGACCAGTTTCCTCTCCAGGACCAGGGAGCAATCACAGCTGCCCCGACCCTGGCTTCCTCTGCTGGGTGGGACTGGGGGCTGGGCCCCCAAATGGGCCCCTGGCTTCCCCCTTCCTCTGGGCAGGGGACAGAGAGGCGCAGGCTCAGGGAGCAGGACTGACTTCCTCTTGTCCCAGAATGAGCATGCTTGCCCTTTGCAAGCAGGTTTGGGTCTCACACAGAGGAAACCAAAAGCAGTAAGAGGGAGGGAAGGCAGCACAACCAATCAAGGGCAGGGTGAGGCTCAAAACGAGCGGGCTCCCTGGGGAGCCCGAGAGAGGTTGAGGGTGATGGCGGAGCTGCAGCAGCTGCAGGAGTTTGAGATCCCCACGGGACGGGAGGCTCTGCGGGGTAACCACAGTGCCCTGCTGCGCGTTGCGGACTACTGCGAGGACAACTATGTGCAGGTAGGCAGAGCGGGCACAGGCCTGACACCCCAGCCCTGGAGAGGGGACCCTGAGTCCAGCCCCAGGTGGGGCCTGGGGAGCCATCCTGATAGGGCTTGTCCTGGGCCTTGGCTGAGATATCTTCCCACTCCAGGCTTCAGCTTCATCCCAGACCGCAATACTTAACCCTGACCCCATACTACCCAAGCCCCCACCGTGCCCCTTCTCGCTCTCAGAGCCTCAGAGATGTCTGGGACAGACAGTGCGATTCCATCCTGTTCTCAGGCTTACCCCAGGTTCATCCTTCTGAGTCCCCCCAGGTTGGTCCAGAGACCCAAAACCCCTGTCCTCACACAGATGCTGGTGATCATTCTATTTCCAGGCCGGCTCTGGGAGAGGCTTCGGAAGAACTTCCCAAACAGCACAGTGAACCTGAGATGGACCAGGGAAAGGCTTTCCCTGAGATTTGGGGAAGAGTGGGAATAAGGCAGAGTAGGCTGCGCTAAAGAGAGGGAGTCTCAGGCAGAGGCAGGGGCATGGCCCGCATGACTGCTGGGAGCAGGCTACCAGCAGAAGATGGGGAGGTGACATTGTAGGACAGTTTGTAAATAGTGTGGTTGTCCCGGGCTGAGAATGTAGATTCCTGGATTCCGGGAGGAAAGGCAAGGCAACTTAGCCATGATGGAAATAACTTCTGTTATTTCATTGATCTGTACAACTACCTTGCGAGACATGTAATTCCTATTTTACAGATGTGGAAACAGTAGCTCAGGGAGGTGAGGTGGCTTGTCCAAGGCCACGTAGCTCCAAACAGCAGAGCCAGGCGTTCCATTGTCTGTTTGTTTTTCGAGATGGAGTTTTGGTCTTGTTGCCCAGGCTGGAGTGCGATGGCGTGACTTCAGCTCATGACAACCTCCGCCTTCCGTGTTCAAGAGATTCTCCTGCCTCAGCCTCCTGAGTAGCTGAGATTACAGACATGCACCACCACGCCCGACTAATTTTGTGTTTTCAGTAGAGACAGGGTTTCGCCATGTTGGTCAGGCTATGGCATGATCATAGCTCACTGGAGCCTCGAACTCCTGGGCTCAAGCAATCTTCCCACTTCAGCCTCCTGAGTAGCTGGGAGAACAGGCACATTGCACCATGCCTGGCTAATTTTTTTTATTTTTTATTTTTTAGAGACAGGGTCTCCATATGTAGCTCAGGCTGGTCTTGAACTCCTGGCCTCAAGTGATCTGCCCACCTTGGCCTCCCAAAGTGCTAAGATTACAGATGTGAGCCACCACATTTGGGCCTCCCTGACTTCTGATGCCAGAGGAAGTCTAATGCCTGACTTCCTCTCCCTCTTTCTGCCTCCCGATTTGCTGTATGACTTTAAGACAGTTTATTTGTACTCTCTGGCCTTGATTTCCTCTGCTCCCTGAATTGCCGCAGGCTAACATTATTACCCCTTGGGCAAAACTTTATTTTTTTTTTTATTTTTCTAATCTGTACTAACCAAACTATGAGAACAGGCACAGGGACCTTCTAGCATAATAAGAATGTTGAAAAAAAAGAAATACACGAGGAACAAGCACTCATGGGAAATGGCAGATTAAAGAGAGTCAGTGATGACAGCAATTAAAACACTCTGGACCCTTCCTTTCGGCCAGACATGTTACCAGTTTGGCCTCCCTTCATCCTCATCTCAAGTCTAGTGAAGCGTGTACCATTCCCACTTCACAAGGAGGAAGCTGAGGTTTGGAAAGGTGAAGTCATTTTCCCAGAGGTCTGCAAGCTAGTGGTTGAGCCCAAATTCAAACCCAGAAATCTGATTCCAAAGCCGATTCCCTATTCCACTAACTGAAAATGCTACTCTGGGTATCATGTCCATCTGTTTGGATGTTGAATGACCACCTGCAGATGAAACAGAACAAGACTTGCAAACCAGCGCATTCTCCTAGCATAGAAAGGCATGTTCCCGCCAGGCTTGGTGGCTCACGCCTGTAATCCCAGCACTTTGGGAGGCCAAGGCGGGTGGATCACTTGAGGCCAGGAGTTCAAGACCAACCTGGACAACATGGTGAAACCCTGTCTCTACTAAAAAAACAAAAACAAACAACCAAAAAAACAACAAGAAAAAATAGCCGGATGTGATAGTGCATGCCTGTAATCCCAGCTATGTGGGAGGCTGAGGCAGGAGAATTGCTTGAACCCAGGAGGCAGAGGTTGCAGTGAGCCAAGATCGCACCACTGCACTCCAGCCTGGGCAACAGAGTGAGACTCTGTCTCAAAAAAAAAAAAAGAAAGAAAGGCATGTTCCCTCATGGACAAGGATCCAAGCAGCCCTTTCCATTCTTCCCATAACTTCTGCACGCCTCAAAGAGCTTCCGCAGGGCTCTTATTTGCACACACAGTGCTGTCTGGGGTCACAAAGACCAAAGTCCCATTTCCAGCTCTGCCACCTACCAACTACAGGAACTGTGGCAAGTTTCTCCTCTGATTCTCATGCCTGCCTTCAGGGGTGGCTCCATGGTCTTAATATAAAAATGTATCAAGGCTGGCCGGGCGCGGTGGCTCAAGCCTGTAATCCCAGCACTTTGGGAGGCCGAGGCGGGTGGATCACGAGGTCGAGAGATCGAGACCATCCTGGTCAACATGGTGAAACCCCGTCTCTACTAAAAATACAAAAACTAGCTGGGTGTGGTGGCGCGTGCCTGTAATCCCAGCTACTTAGGAGGCTGAGGCAGGAGAATTGCCTGAGCCCAGGAGGCGGAGGTTGCGGTGAGCTGAGATCGCGCCATTGCACTCCAGCCTGGGTAACAAGAGCGAAACTCCGTCTCAAAAAAAAAAAAAAAAGAGTATCAAGGCATTTAGCCTAGTGCCCGCCAATTCAGAAGAGCAGGATAAATGGCAGCTCTTACCATGACTATCATCATCATCATTCATTGGAAGGATGGATAATAAGAATCAGTTCTAGGGAGTAAAAGCTGTCCTTGCAAAAATATACAGGGCATCAGAAGCCCTGACCCAGGCTGGGGTCCCTGGACTCCTGCTTCCTTCATGCAGAACACTAACTACTAGAACACACAATCTGTTACCTTTCCTGACCTTTCTGAGGCTCTTTGGGCAAATGCCTAGGAAGTTTCTGAATCTCAGAATTGCTGTTACATAAGGCTTGATTCCCCTACACTCCCCCCACCCCACCTGCAGCCCTTCTTCCCCACACCACTGAGATGTTAGGAAACCCACGGGGAATTAGGGAAGGCAGACCAGGGGTCACCTGCAGAGTTCTCTGCCAGGGTTGACTGAGTTTACAGACAGGGTAATTTGCATGGCAAACAAGCACTCAGCTGCAGAGATGGATCCCAGACCCTTGTCCCTGCAGACCTAACTTTGGGCCAAGAGCAAAGCCAGGGGCCAGTAGGTGTTAGGGCTCCAGGTGCCCCGAGCTGGGCGCAAGCAGACAGTTTTCCTGTTTGGGCCAAGAATTCCACGTCAGTTTGGGGAGGAAACTGTACAGGAGAAGACAGGCAAGCTAAGCAATCTGGGTGGACTAAAGACACAGCAAGACTCCATCCCCCCAGCAAAAAAAAAGAAAGAAAGAAACCTGGGTGGAGATGGAGGAGTAGCCACTGCTCAGTTCTGGGCCTGTTTCTGCATTTAGTAAAGGAAGGTCCTGAAATAAATCAAGACCTGTTACCTTGTCTGGTTTTACTATCCTGGGTTGATTTCTTTGCCTATTCAAAGTTCTTGGTGACATATGCTGAGGAGATGTAAATTTTGTCGCATATGCTGATGAGATGTAAATGAACATGCAAATGAGCATCTCTTTCCCGCTGTTGGAAAAGAAAGACAGGGAAGAGAGCGCTACCGGGCTTCCCAGAAGTTCTGGCTCAGGCTCCATTAGAGGCTCCCAGGTGTCTTAGACCCTGCTTTGCAGGTCTGCTGTCCATTGACAGGCACCGTGGGCTCCAGCAAGGGGACTCCAGTGTGCAGCCTGGCCTGTTGGCCCACTGGCTCTACCCAGTGTCACCCTGGACTTGCCCCCTACCTGCCTTAGAAAGGTACAG